AAGCCGGCCACGGGGCTGAGAAAGAGGCTGTGTGTATGGAGGGGCCTCAGAACCGGACAGGCAGGGGCATCCCTTGGGCTGCATCCGCTTAAGAATGCTCAGGACGCCACTACGCTGGGACCCGGGAAGGTGCTTGGAGGCTGCTTCGTGGCCCCCGGAGCCCTGTGTGGGCCAGTGTCGCCACACTTTCTCCACCAAAGGCCGTGGATCAGATCTGCTGAGCAAGAAATGAGAACAGGAGGTCATTACTCCGAACAGGAACCACCATGAAGTTTCACATTCATGCAACACACAAAGCCGCGGGCTTTATGCCGTCACAGATAGCCCACGTCCAGCCAGCCGGTGAGATCTTTCTCCAATCTGCCAGGGACGAGGCCCTACATGAGCCCATCCACAGCCTGCCTTTAGGACAGGGGTGTCCAGCCTTGGCAACTTTAAGACTGGTGGATGTCAACTCCCAGAATTCCCCAGCCAACAGAGCAGCAGCTCTTGGCCAGAGCTAAAGATCTCATTTCTGGATTCCTCAGTTGACCTTCTGCCCTCCTAGATTCCTTTAAGAATAATAGCTAAGGGGGGCATTAAAAGGGGGTGGTGGCCCTTTCTCCCTCCCTCTGTCATCATTTGGAAAAAAATAGGGGGAGCAATCAAACCCAGAGAGTCGCCCACTCCTGCATTAAGTCGATCTGCACCAAGTTGCTGCAGCTTAATTGGGATAAATTAGTGTAATGTATTGAATTATTTTAAAGCACAATTACATTTTATTAGCCCGTCACTTAAGAACCTTAATGGATTAGAGGGGGAGGGGAGGAAGGCAAGCAGGCTGCCGAGTTAACTGTTAATGGGTCAGCAGAACTTTAGCCTGGCTTTGCCAGTCTGGTGCCCTTGCAGTTTGGGGGTGCTGGGAGTTATAGTCTCAGCAGTTCGAAGATGACCCACAGCTGCATTAATAGATGGGCTGGTCTCACCACAAATGACTCAATATGAAGTAGTGAAGTCAAACCTAGAGCTGGAGGCTAAAATATATAAAGAACGGTTGCTGGAATTGGGGATGTCTAGTTTAATGAAGAGAAGGACGAGGGGTGACATGATAGCGGCCTTCCAGTATCTCAGGGGCTGCCACAAAGAAGAGGCAGTCAACTTATTCTCCAAAGCGCCTGAAGGCAGGACAAGAAGCAACAGATGGAAACTAACCAAAGAGAGAAGCAACCTAGAACTAAGGAGAAATTTCCTGACAGTGAGAACTATTAATCGGTGGAACGACTTGCCTCCAGAAGTCGTGGCTGCTCCATCAGTGGAGGTTTTCAAGAAGAGGCCGGGCAGCCATTTGTGCAGAATGGGATAATGTCTCCTGCTTGAGCAGGGGGTTGGACTAGAAGACCTCCAAGGCCCCTTCCAATTCTGTTATCCTGTTATTCCTGCCTTGGTGTGCTTCAGGCTCTGGACTGGAATATATTCGTGGAGCGCTAGAGGGCAGCCGAGGTTAGGCTTTGGAGCAGAATCCGAGGGCGGGAGGGGGGGGAGCAGAGGAAAAAAGGGGGCTGGGCGTCCAGAGGCCTTCGCCCCAAAGGACAGGAAAGGAGAGGAGGGAAAGGGCCCCAGTCAGAGGCAAAAACCAGGCAGGCCCTCCTTCCAGAGCTGGCCAGAAGAGGCCATGCAGAGGATCGAAGCTGCTTCCTGAATGATTAAGGCAAAGAAGCAGAGATTGGATTTGATGGGCATGTGCATATCATCTAGGGGTGTGTGTGTGTGTGTGATTCACTTAACAACTGTGATAAAAAAGGGTTGTAAAATCGGGTCCGGTCATGTAATGACTCATTTTATGACCACATTGCCTAGCGATCAACATTCTGGTCTCAATTGTGGTGGTAAATCAAGAACTGTCCGTACAATCACACGTTCTGGGTTCATGCACCCTATCAACCCTGGATTGCTTGAACTGTGGTTTGTTGAGTAAGCCTGAAATCGGCTGGATTCTTGCTCCAGCTATAAACCTTGCCGGGCCAGTCCTGCTGGCCGAGCTCACCCCTCCCACCGAAGTGGCGTGAAATCAGACTATTTATTTTTTATTTATTTTATTTATTCGATTTATATCCCGCCCTTCTCCTTACCGGACTAAAGACACTTTGCACAATCTCTCCTCCTTACTCCTCCCTCCACCTTGGTCAGGTAGCCAGGCTGAAACATCCTCCCCTCTCTTTCTCCCCCACCCCCCAACTGCTGCCCTTTCAAGTAGGAGCCTCCATCTTGCCTGATTCAGCAGCTGTGGCCAAAAGCACCGTTCTGTCCAGAGTAGATTTATGGCGCATAAATTAAACCGGGCGCCCGAAGGCACCGGGCGCTGTCTGGAGACTGTCGGCGCAGCTTCCCGCCTGCATCAATGAGGCTATTTTTAAACGAGCGTCTGTCTGTATGGAGGAACAGGTGCAGGCTAAAAATAAGCCTCTCGCGCACCCAAGCTTGCGGCCCACCGACTGGAGAAGCTCTGGTGCTGGCACAGACCGGGCACACCCAGAAGTGAGCCACAGCTAGCTGAACCGAGGTGCTTCCCAGCAACCCAATTTTCTGGGTCCTCTTGGGTACTAATCCCAGGGTTGTAACCGAAGAAGGTGGTCTCCTGCTTGTTGGTGCCTCTCTTCCAGACTTGCTTTGTTGATATTTGTCTGAAATGGTCTAGGGTTTCCTCTTGAGCAGTAGGTTGGATTAGAAGACCTCCAAGGTCCCTTCCAGCTCTACTCTACTCTACTCTACTCTACTCTACTCTACTCTACTCTACTCTACTCTACTCTACTCTACTCCTTATTCCATTCCATTCCATTCCATTCTATTCTATTCTATTATTCTATTCTATTCTATTCTATTCTATTCTATTCTATTCTATTCTATTCTATTCCTTATTCCATTCCATTCCATTCCACTCCACTCCACTCCACTCCACTCCACTCCACTCTACTCTACTCTACTCTACTCTACTCTATTCTTCTATTCTATTCTATTCTATTCTATTCTATTCTATTCTCTGCACATCCCTATGTAGACCTGTGCAGGTCCATTTTGAACTTTGGGTAAGCTTTTTTTGGGGGGGGGAAACAGGTTTGGTCTACACAAGATACCTGCAAGAGCCAGTCTGTTATGCTGCTTCATTGTGCAGCATTTCAATGCTTTTGCAACATGTCCACTTCCCCCCACCCCACCCCACCCCAGGGAACAAAAGCCAGGACCGTCCTTCAATGTATCTTTGCAACTGTCTGGTGAGCTAAGCCTGGCCAAGAGAATGCAATTGATCTAGGAACGTCCAGCGGAAAGCTGACAGGTCCACCCGGCTCCCTTTTTAGCAACTGCCAAGCTCCCAAGTGAAGCCCCCCCCCTCATTCTTCCCCAGGCCGTCCACTGGCACAGCCCCTCCAGTGCCTGGTAAGGACAAGTTGGCCAGCTCTGCAAAGGTGCCAGACACCAGCCTGTTTCCCCACTTTGGAAGTCTGTGGGGCAAAGTCCAATCCTGCCTTTGAAGTAGCTGGACTGAATCTCTGGCCTTCCTCTCCCTCCTGGCTGCCACATCCCCACGACGGAATAATCCTAGGAAGGTCAGTGCCAGCAGTGAGATTTCCTTTGCCCCCCTCCTCGCTTTTCTTCTGCTGCCGTTTCTGTTTTCCTTCACACCCTTTTGGGGGGGCTTAACTTCTCCAGCGGTTTTTTTTTCGTAGCAACTCTGTTTCTTTGCTCTTCCACATTATAGAAACCGAGGCGGTTCACGGTTCACCTTGCCAGTTTTTCTTGTCTCTCTCCTCTGTGGTGTCTCAGAGCTAATCGTCGTTAATTTTAACTTTGGGTTTTGAGGAAGGGGGAGAAAAGTGGCTTAGTTGGAGGAATCTGGCTCAGAATTTTGTGGAAAGGCAGAAACGTGGGTGAATTCAGGAATGGAAGTTTTACGGTTGCCACATTGCCATGGATGTGTCTCTCCCACCTGATTCACGCATTTAATGAAGAATCCCATGTTGCCCTGGGGTTGGAGCTTCCACATGTCACGAGCTGCATGTTTGCAAACCAGGGTTGGTGCTCAGCCAATTAAAGCAGTGGTTTAACAGAATGTATGGACCCAGGGATCCTTTCAAGCTTTCTCAAACAGCTGGAAGGGCTTCACCCTCTGATATTCATCAAGTCCTTGACACTGTTTGCCCCTTAACTAGGTTACTAACTCATCTTCTGGGTCAGGATTACCTGCAATCAGAAACTAGGGTTCAAAAGGTCTGGATTTGTACAACATGCTAAACCCTGAAAATACCAAGCAAACATTTTAGCCAATCAAGGTTGTATGAATGCAGCCATTCGGCTTTTCAGTAAGCTGGACATGTCTGGGTGGTGCAGGTCAGACGCTGTTTTCGGCTGTAACCGAGTGGATACAGGAAACGGTACCTGCAAGTTACCAGATACACGTGTCAGGCGGGTGACCTTGTGAAACAGCACTAGTTGAGCGTGGCTGAAGAGCTAAGCGTGAAAAATAACCAGAGAAAATCTGATTGCAAGGGGTTTTCCAGCAACTACTTCAGCTTATACAGTACAGGCAAACCGGGCTGGGGCGCAGGGCTTCACGCTTCGGCCCCAGAGCAACGTGTGAAGCCTCTTTCACGCGTGTAGGAAGCTGGAATGGAAGCAAAACGACTCCAAACCTTCAAGTGGAGGGGGTGCTTCGAGAAGGGAGTGCTCCCCGCCCCCGGGTTCGGACAGCCTGCCTCGCGCAGCCTTCTGGGGGTTGTAGTTCCTGCTAAACTCCGCACCGAGCGCAACGCTTCAATGGGGGGGGGGTGATACGGACTCAATTTCCCAGCCTTCTTTGCGGGACATTTTTTTCTTTCGGCCAGCTGAGCAGTCCGGAAGTTAGAGCAGCTTTTGGTGGAGGGGCATTGCTTCCAGGGGGTGGAGGGAGGGGGGCGGTGCTGGTCTGGGGCGGGTAGGGACCCCAGAGGAACCAGGCCTTGCTAAGCCGGATCCTAAGGGGGTTGCATGCCCTTCTCCTTGGACTGCTGCGGAGGACTCAATAATGTGGATTATAGCAAGGTAGAGACAGGCTTCCCACCTCCGCAAAGACGAAAGACCGGGCGGGGGGGGGGGTTGGGGGTCCCTGCCTTGCAAGCCCGGGAGCGGGGCAGAGCCCAAGCCGAGCCTTAAGGAAGGCCAGCCTTGCGCTTGCGCTTGCGCTACTCCCAGGATGAGCAAGGGGTCTGTGGAGCGGAAGCGAGGCCGGGGGGGCCCTTTTTCCTGGGGGGCTGGGATGATGACTGCAAAGCGAAGAGCGGGACGGAGGCAATGACTCCACTTGCACTGCCCGGCCTTTGTTTATCCGATTTTCTGGAAACCCTGTTATTCTTTCCTTGCAACAATGTAAAAGCTCTTCCTGAGCCTCGGAGCCCCCCCCTTCTTCGGTTACTCCCCCCCCCCGTGGCTGGGCGAGGAAGGTAGGCCTCCCTCGGCTCGCTGACGTTCAAAATTCCCAAGAATTTTGGGACCCAAGAAAAAAAATCTCCTCCTCCCCCCCCCCTGCAAGANAAACATTCAGTGACATTACAGAATCTCTGACCAGGATCAAATGACCATGTGGGGTTTGTTTGTTTTTTGGGGCGGTTCTTGTTATTTGTTAAATAGTCTGGATCAGTTTAGAACTGGCCGGGTAAAATGCATGCAAGCGATATGCTTAATTATTAGCATGAACTGGGCAATCCGAAACAAATCTTGCAGGTAGATTTGCAGTGCAGAATCAGCCTCTGGAGTTACTAACCCAGGTTAAAAGTTGTTTATGTTGTTGTTGTTTATTATATTTATATCCCGCCCTTCTCCTTGCGGACTCAGGGCGGCTAACAGCCAGATAAAACAACTACAAAATACCAAATACTACAGTTAAAACATAATTAAAAGACAAATATTAACAATTGGCCTAAGTAATTTAAAATTATTTTAAAACCCCCATGGCTGTTCCTTGCTTGAAGTTTAAGATGTTTACGACATCTTAAGAGAGAACTGCACAAAGCACGGCTACATGCATGTCTGAATGCAGATCGGGATTTAGGATTCCAAGTGCTGCGAATGCAAACGTTGATTTGGAATCTCCTTTGGACCCCCAGCCCAATTGAGGGGGCTTCTTCTCCTGGCTGAGAGCCAACTCACACTCAGTGTCTCTCACAGGTTGACCTCTCGGCTATGAGTCTACTTTCTGACTACGTGGATGTGACTGATCCCAACTTCATCGTGGCTGTCCTCTGCATCGCTTTCAACCCGTTGTTCTGGAATCTGGTAGGTACCAAACCCCTGTAGTTTTCAACCTACAAAACCCAAGTCAGACTTTAGAATGGCCTTCCAATAGAAATATGGGTCTTACATTTTTGGGAATCCACCTGTCTCCTCTCAGGTGGGTCAAAAAAGGGACAATTCCTGCCCATCTGGGGGGCAGCAGGTTGAGGGGTGCTTCCGAGCTGATGCTGCCCAAGTGGTTAAGGCAACTTTCAGGACCACGGAAAGCTCCCTCAGGAGCCAGACATTCCCCAAAGTCAAAAAGCTGGCAGTTGTTTGGCCAACATTTCAGGCAACCGTGAACCTGCATTGTCCTCAATCCTTCGTGTTCAGTATACAGGTAGCCCTTGACCTACTACCATTCCTTTAGTGACCATTCAAAGTTACAACGGCCCTGAAAAAGATGACTTATGACCGTTTTTCACACTTATGACCATTGCAGCGCCCCCGTGGTCACGTCAACCCTTTGTTCTAGGTTGCTTCTCTCCTTGATTAGTCTCCGTCTGTTGCTTCTTCTCCTGCCTTCAGGTGCTTTGGGGAACAGGTTGACCCCCTCCTCTCTGTGGGAGCCCCTCAAATATTGGAAGACTGCTTTCATATCACCCCTAGTCCTTCTTTTCATTAAACCAGACTCTCGGTTAAGTCTGGTGGAACCAGGCAAAGAGATGAACTAGATTTTGACTCTGTACCTAAAAGACAGGAGAGAAAAGGATGCAGCCCCCATTTTGTTAGATTTATTTCCTCCATTGTGGGTACATTCTCCAGTGTTAAAAAAAAGTGTGTAACTGTATCTCGGACCTGTGTCTTTCTTCCTCCTGGCTTTCTTCTGAGTTTGGGGCGGGGGCCTTCTTCCTTCTCCTTTCTCTTAGATAACCATTGTTCCCTCGTTCTGTCTTTGTGTGCTGCGAGACCATTTAGGATCGTCCCTTGTTCAGACAATACCTTCTTCTGCTTTAGGCACTGTCCACCACACTGAGCCTGGTTTGTTGAGTCTTTGTCATCCGTGATGGTTTTCTCTAAATGTTGCTTTTAATGACCATCGACCGAGCAGAATCGAGGATCGAAACAGGGCGAGGGGAACGGTGGTCATGGAGATTTTCCTTTCGAGGCCAGAAAGCATTGATGGTCCATGCTGGGCTGTCTGGCCGGCTGCAAAGTGACAAAGGGGGTGAGTGGACTGACAGAAGTTCACACACCTGGCAAAGCGGTAGGAATGGCTAAAATTAGGTATCTAACGACTCCCTGGGACTGTGTTGCATAAAGGCGCCGGGAACTGGGTCAGAGAACCTTATGTGTGGCTGCACCAGAAACAATGCGTCATTTGGGGGGCTCAGCGGAAACACCCCCTCCCAGATTTGGTGTCCTATTTGCAAGGAGTTAATTGGGTGTGTGTGTGTGTGTGTGTGTGTGTGTGTAGATGCGTACACATGCAAGAATTCATTGTTTGATTTCAACATGGAGGAAATATTTGCAAGTTCTACTCAGGGAGGGGTTTCTGCTTCTGCTCTGTGCAATTGTGCAGCCCCCGTTTTGTTTTGTTTATTTGTTTTTAATCTTCCTCTCTTGCCCCTGACCCAGTTTCCCACTGTGGATCTCTGATTGTTTCCAGAGCATTTTGGAGAAAAAGGAGGACAGTTGAAAAACGATCCCTCAGCCTTAAAGATGGTAAAACCTTGATAACAAGCAAAAAAGGGGCCGCCCCTCTGACATCAGTTGGAAATAGGCACTCGACCCCAAACTTTTTTTAAAAAATCTTTTTAATCTTCCACTGGCTGTCCCTGTATCTCTGAATACAATTAGTCCTCGACTTACAACAGTTTGTTTAGTAATTGTTCGAAGTTACAGTGGCACTGAAAAAAAGTGACGTGACTGTTTTTCACACTTGTGGCCCTTGCAGCATCCCCAAGATCACGTGATTTACATTCAGACATCCCCTTGCTTCTCTTCTCTTCTCTTCTCTTCTCTTCTCTTCTCTTCTATTCTATTCTATTCTATTCTCTATTCTACTCTCTTCTCTTCTATTCTATTCTATTCTATTCTCTATTCTACTCTCTTCTCTTCTCTTCTCTTCTATTCTATTCTATTCTATTCCATTCCATTCCATTCCATTCCATTCTCTATTCTACTCTATTCTCTATTCTCTTCTCTTCTATTCTCTATTCTACTCTCTTCTCTTCTCTTCTCTTCTCTTCTCTTCTCTTCTCTTCTCTTCTCTTCTATTCTATTCTATTCTATTCTATTCTATTCTATTCTATTCTATTCTATTCCCTGTACCAGGAGAACATGTGAGAGAGAGGTTAGCTTTGGGCATTTCTGGTGGATTCCTGGTAGGCATGCGATTGGTGGACCTCCTTGGAGAAAAGATGCCGGTTTCAGTGGACTTTCGGTTCAATCCATCAAAAATTGTCTTCTCTCCTTCCCTTCCTGTCTGGTCACCACCGTTGTTGGTCTCTCCTTTCTACAAATCCTCAGCAGGGGGCGCTAAAGGAGCAAGGTAATTCCTCTGCATGGCACCCAGCCAGAGTCCATTCATCCATCCCAGCCCATATCCCTTAATGGCCAGGCAGGGAACGATGGTCGCGGTAGTCCAATCACGAAGCCCAGGGTGGCATCTCTGTGGATCGGGATGAATACAGAGGAAGAAGAGGCGCCATTGATGGGAAGCAAAACCCATCCTCTCTCCTTGCTTGCGTTTCTATCCCTCTGATTTATCTCTCAGAAATAAGCATTTGGAACTTAGCACAGCCAGAGATCCAGCACCTTCCTGGCGGGTTTCTGCCGGCAAGGGATGAGTTTTGCAAAGGACTTTGAAGAAAATAATCTCTTCCCTCTTGGGAAGATCCCGGCCTTTGCCACAAAATCCCTTTTGCTTGAGAACCTCTTCCAAGAAGGGAATCTCAAAAGAGGTAGAACCTCAATTCCTGGTTTAACCATCCAGAGGACATCCGAAGATGCTTTTTTTCCAAAAGGCAGCTGAATTTTCTTGGTTATTGTCTTTGAAAACATTTGGCTTCTCATCCAAGAAGCTTCTTCAGTTCTGCTTGGATCGGGTAATCAAGGTGCAGAACTGAAGAAGCTTCTTGGATGAGAAGCGAAGCATCTTCAAGGAAAAAAAAAATACCCAAGAAAAGCGCCTTTGGGACAGCCAAGACCTGGATGGTGGAGAATCTCCACAGGTTTATGAACCAGCGTTGGGGAGTGGGCTTGCGGGGGCAGAGAGAGATGGAAGTGACTCTGGTGAGATCAGGGGTCACCTTGGGCCTCCCCCTTCCTTGCCTGGCCCAGCTGCAACCCAGGTCTCTTTGGCAGCTGAGGTGCTTACCTTATCAGCTTCCAAATTCATAACACCTTCCTCTGCCAGGGGAAACCAATTAGGTGAAATTGCTTCCTTATTATGGAGGAAAGGAGAGTTTAAATCCTGCAGTCAATACATCGTCCTGGGTTTCATGAGGGGCGGAGGGGCTTCTTGCTGCCTTTTGCCCTTCCACCTGGCTCTGAAGATTATGTCTCCTGTTTTAAAGCCTCGCCCGATCAAATCTCTCGATAAGGAATTCATCTCTTTAATAGCGTTGACCTGACTTGGCAGAAATCCCATCTCGCTATCCAGTCTTTGTTTATTTTCGTTTTTTTTTTAATCTAGGAAGAGCCTTGGGCGTCTAACCTCCTCTGCACAACAGACATTACGGACAGTCCCTGTTTAGCGACCACAATGGGGACCTGGTCGTTAAGCAAAGTTAAATGGAACTTTGACGGTGCTTATCATCTTCCTTCAACTTTCTTTTGCTTTATAAAGAGCACCTGTGCAAGGACTGCTTGCAAGATGACATTTTCATCCTCCTTGTCCCTTTGAACCGTCAAATGAGAACTATTTTTTTTTATTTCTGTTTATCAGATTTCGAAACTACTAGGAAAATAAAAGCTCATTTAAGCCTTGAAGGAAGGCCTTGCGGTCCTTTTCTGCTCAAGAAATGAAAAAATCTCATCTGAAGGGGCAGGAACCCTTCTCTACGTCCTGATGCACATGCAGACAATCTAACAATGTAGGAAACACAGCCATTTGTGGTTGATTCTGCAAGCCATGATCAAATAAGGCACAGCCTATCCCCTCCAACTGAGAGTTTCGTTCAGCTGGCTGAATGGATGAAAATCAAGCCTGGTTTTTCTCTTAAAGTACACAATTTCAGCTCTGTTTTATTTATTTTTTTTTAAAAAGTATTTCATACCTGCTGCCTTAAGGACAGGGAACCCTCTGGGTGTCAGCCCCTCACCCTGCGCCCAGGGATAAGCTGTTTCGGTGAGTTTCCAGGAGTCGTGCAAAGTTTAAGAAGCCTCAAGTATAAATCCGTACCAAAAAGAGCAAGGATTTTTTTCTTTTCTTTTCTTTTTTTTTTTAAAGTTAAAACCTTGATACTGTTTGGAAGCAGAATCCTGCCTCTGTGCTGCCCTTGGGAGCTGCTCTTTTGGGAAGCATCGTCGTCTTCACAAGACCCAAAACGCCCCTTTGCCAATCCTGCAGCATCTTTTTTGGGGATAATTCTAGCAAAAGGAGAAAATTGTACGCTGGAGAAAACTCCGACAGCTGCACTTTCTCCCCAGAGTAAGTTCACGCCACGCAGCAAGTCATGGCGTGAACTTGGCTAGCAGTTAGCAGCAAGTCTGAATCTTGTTTAAGCCGCCTCATTAATGTGGGGCTAATTGGGGTGTGTGTGTGTTTCATGGACAATCGCCCAGCGTTCCCTCACTGTGGAGAAACCTTGAATGTTCCAGCGCCATCCAGCCACACGTAGGGCAGCTCCTAAAGACGCTCATTAGATTTTGCATGCAAATAGGCTTCTCTTAATTGCTGGCTTGTGCAAAGTAATTAGCAGGGTTTTCTCCCTCCCCTCCCTTTTGTTCTGTTCTCCTGCTTTGCGCTGCTTCTGCCGTCCTTCTCTACCCTCCCTCGCAGGTTCCGCTAGGATTAAACTCATCTCTCCACCTCCTTTTTCCCCCTTCTCTTCTTTCCCTTCTCTCTCCTTTCTTTCTTTCTTTCTTTCTTTCTTTCTTCCTTCCTTTCTTTCTTTCTCTTTCGTTCATTTCATTTTTTCTAGTCTCTTTCTTGTCTTTTTGTCTTTCTGTCTTTTTATTCATTTTCTTTCTTTCTTTCTTCCTTCCTTCCTTCCTTTCTTTCTTTCTTTCTTTCTTTCTTTCTTTCTTTCTTCCTTTCTTTCTTTTTTCTCTTTTGTTCATTTTATTTTTTTCTGTCTCTTTGTCTTTCTTTCTGTCTTTCTCTTTCATTCATTTTCTTCCTTCCTTCCTTCCTTCCTTCCTTCCTTCCTTCCTTCCTTCCTTCCTTCCTTCCTTCCTTCCTTCCTTCCTTCCTTCCTTCTTTCCTTCCTTCCTTCCTTCCTTCCTTCCTTCCTTCCTTCCTTCCTTCCTTCCTTCCTTTTTCTGGACTCAGCCATCAGGAAATCATATGCAAGCATCTACAGAAGCATCACGCTTGCTAGGATCACATTGTCCCCGATAGAAGTGGTACCCGGGGGCACCTGAGGACTCTTTATCAGAAAGAAATACCCTCCTCCCTGCTGTATATTTGCGGTAAGCTGGAGATAAAAATGGAACAGCGTAAAATAGAAGCGAAGCAGGGTTTCAGAACTGAGGTTGGTCCCCATTAAAATGCAACGCCTTTCAAAAAAATCCGTCCAGCTGGATGAGCAGAAACCGTATATCTCTGCCTGGGAACAAATACTCCATATGGATGAATGGCCAGGCTGGTGGGTGCCATCTCCAGCCTGTTCAAAATGATACCAGTGGGCAGATTAGCCAAGAACGGCAGGGGGGAGCATCATGGTTTGGCTGAGCAGAAACGCATTGGAGTCCTGGCACTATTAAAAATGAGAACAGCCCATGACAGGTCAAAGGGACAAGGCTTGACCCTGTCCTCTGGCCAGTACAGCCCTTGACTTACGACCACAGATGAGTCCAACATTTCTGTTGCTAAGCCAGGCAGTTCAGTAAAAATGAATCCCTGCAGCTGTTAAGCTAGTCACACAGTTGTTAAGTGAATCTGGCTTCCCCATTGACTTTACCTGTCAGAAGGGCGCAAAAGGGGAAGAGCATGACTCCCCAGGGGACACTGCGACCGTCATAAACGTGAGTCAGTTGCCAAGCGTCTGAATTCTGATCACAGGGATGCTGCAACGGTCCTAAGTGTGAAAAACGGTCCTAAGTCGCTTTTTCAGTACTGTTGTAACTTCAAACGGTCACTAAATGAACGATTGTAAGTCAAGGTCTACCTGCATCCCACTGAACTTGATTTCCTGCCTCTTTTTTTTCAACATCTTTATGAAATTAAGGAGACAAACCGATCTGCCGATGTTTGTCATCTAACAGTACGCAGTTGTTCGTCTCTTGTCCAGCATCTTTGGGAAAGGCTGTGGAAATTCTGAATCAGCGTTTAGAGTCAGTTGAAGGAAGGTCTATCAATCAAAATTAAACTCGAGGCCAAAGAGAGATACTATTGATTAACAGCATTACTAATCCACCGATGAGGCTGTTATTTCCTGTCAGAAGATGACATTAGTAATTTCCCAGCATCTCTTTCCTTTCAGAACTTGGATGCTGCAAAAGGGCTTCGTTACGTGGTCATCTGGCCAGGTTGGTTCTTTGACCTTTTTTAAAATTTTGTCTGTTCAGGTTGGAAGATGGGAGCACAGAACCCGGTCACTCACACGCGTCTTCCGTTCTCCTTACACAGCCTGCTACTTCCTGGGAGTTGTCATTATCCTGCTCAACTTTCTGCGGAGTCACTGGTGAGTCTCACCTTTGGGGGTGTTTGATGGGCCTTTGGCAAAAGTTGGGGGTGTCAAAGCATCTCCTTCAAATGGCTGTGTGGCTTCCTCCCGAAAACCTGTAAAGATTGAAGGAGAGTTCCATGCTCATGTGCAGAAGTCTGTCTGGAAAGCGACAGAGAAGGTGAGGTGGTTTAAGGCAGATGTTTCTTCAAGCCAGTTGCTTAACCTCTTTGCTGGAGGAGAAGAATAGCCTTTCCTGAGCTGTGTGGAGCTCCTTGTCAAGATGACTGTAAGAAGTTTGCGCATGATCTGGGATTTAGGCCTGAAGGGGAAAACTGTAGTGTCTGATGGAGTCCAACTCTAGGAAGAGAAGTTCATCTAAGGAAGAAAGACCAAATAACTCAAGTAAAAAGTTCAAAATCCATATAAAAGTCAAGGCAAATGTCAGCAGGACCTTGGACAGTTCCAAGAAAAATATCCTGTCGTCTACCTTCAGTTTTGACTAGATTTATATTCTACTTTTACTCCTGAAGCTCAAAGTGCCTACAAAACATCCATCCTCCAGTTTGCCCCATCTCCAGGCTTGTGATGTAGGTTGGATTGAATGTGATCTGCCCCAAGTCCCGCAGTGAGCTTCCATGACTGAGGGTGGATTTTAACCTGGTCTCTCCTAGGCTAACACCAACATAGAGTCATGTTGTATCTGTAGGAACTGAAGCCCACTGGGTTAGTGCCTTTCTACCAATGGGCATGAGTAGATTGGTCCTCACTTGGCTTTACAGCTTTTGATGACCACAAAGGTGGGGAGATGGATGATGCTGGAGGTCCTCCTCTTGAAGAATCAATCAGAAACCATCTCCAGCTAAAAATCACCATTCTAGTCCACCTTCATCTGTTGAAGGAGGTCTCCAAATGTCAGTTGGATTAAGACTCGTTTCTGGCTCTGGTCTCATTTGAGGCAGCATCCTCAACTTGATGCTCTCCCAATCACCACGGGATTGTAATCAAACCCAACAGAATGGCACCAGGCTGTCTCAGTCCAGCATCTTTCCCCCATTTTAAAGAAGGGAATGAAAACACTGTGGCTGCCTAGTTTCGTTTTCAAGGTTAGCGAATCTTCATGTTTACAGAAGCCCCGCAGATTATCTGTGCATTTAACTCTCAGGTCATTTCAACTCTCTTATCTCGGATAAGGCACGATAATGCTCTCTCTCCCTACTCAGATCTGCTCCGTAATCCAGTATGAATGATGTACTGTACATTATGATAATGTGTCCTTAGATGTTCTCATTGCAAGGAAGGTAACCTAAGCAGACGGGTTGACTTTCCGAAAGCTTTCNTTTCTTCCTGGACTGGAAGTTTTTCACAGTGGGAAACCACAGAGGCAGTTTCTACCTGTTTCTTGGGGTGGGTTTGGGGCTGTTTGCTTCTCATCCCCAAGCCACAAAAAACCCACCTCACGTGTTCTTTCATCCAATATTTGTTTTCCTTCCAGCGCGAACACCTGAGTTTGGTGTTAGTGCCAGTCTGTTGCATTTGGAGAGGGAGAGACAGAAAGAAAACAGGCCATTTGCACCTCAGCAAACTAAAGCAGGGCAGGAAATTGAGTTTTCTGTTTGCCAGAGTAAAGATGCTCCTTCTAAAAAAAGCTTCTTCTGGACTTTTTGCTGAAAAAAAGAGAAAAATGAACAATTTATGGGACTGCTTATGGAAAGCTGGAAATGACGATGTAAGCTTAGAAAGGGTAACATTTGAGTGCCTTTATAACCATTATCAAAAAGATTGGAAGCCTCCCTCCCTCCCTCCCTCCCTTTTTCTTTCTTTCTTTCTTTCTTTCTTTCTTTCTTTCTTTCTTTCTTTCTTTCTTTCTTTCTTTCTTTCTTTCTTTTAGTTCTATTTCCTTTCTTACTTATTCACTCTTCTAACTTACTTTCTTTGTTTCCTTTCTAATATTTCTATTGTTTTTATCTTGTTAAAAAGTCTTTCAATAAAAACTTTAGGCATGTAAAGTGTTTGTAATTAGCAAAGTCTCCTTTCCTTCGGCCTGCATCACCTTAGGAAGGCTTCATCACCTCAACAATCTTTCTTTTTCACCTCTTGCAGCTTTGGAGAAGCGATGAAGGGTCAGCCCAAGCTACCACTGCTGGATTGTCTTTTGGTGTACTGTGCCAGTGTCATTCTCATGGCAGTGGGCGTCCTCTTGGTGATCTCCAGCTTCCTCGCCCTGGGGTTTATCGGGACGTTTTTAGGTAAGGTCAACTTGATCATAGCTTGATGCCAACTTTCTCCAACACGGTTCTCCTAGATGGTTACAGACGGGCAATATTCTCCAGGTTGCCCCCAAGTTAAAGCTGGTTAACAATGGGGGCCTCTACAGGGCAGGTCCAAGGTATCAAAATGGCAGCTCCTTCATCCCGGATGGCTGTGTGCCCATAGGTTGGATACACCACAATTTCCCCCTCTTTCTTATTCCTGTTTCTGCTGCAATATATGTCACAGTGGTTAGAAGGCCGTATTGCAGCCTAATTCTGCTCATGGCCAGCAGTTCGATCCTGATCGGTTCAAGGTTGACTCAGCCTTCCATCCTTCCGAGGTCGGTGAAATGAGGACCCAGATGGTTGGGGGGGCAAGATGATGACTCTGAAAACTGCTCAGAGAGGGCTGTAAAGCACTGTGAAGCGGTATATAAGTATCTTAAGTGCTATTGCTTAGCTTTTCAGAATCCACCCAGGTCTGTTTAGTGCTCTGCAGGTGGGGAATACACCACACTCCGGCCACACAAGTCCCCCTGTCCCCATTTTGCTTTGCAATTGCTGGACAAAGAGATGGCTCTGTTTAATTCTGCAATTCGGGATGGTATGTTTAAATAATCTCTGTGTTTAAATAATCAGATGGTTATTTTCCTGGCGTCTCCAATGTAGGCTACAGGGTTAGAGTGATTCACGCTTGATAAACAACGGCTCTCGGTGTCCTTCCCATTTCCTGCACAGTAGGGGGCAGTTTCTCCACAGTTGAGGACTCATACTTGGCTGGCCCATTTACTTCCTTTGTGTCGGTGCTTGTGAACATGTAAGCAGCCAGAGGACTGCTTGACCGACATTTTAACCCAAAATCCAGGCCATAGTGGACAGGGGGGTATAGCCATCCCTCGAACCCTAGTGTTCAGCGCCTCACTTTTTGGGGGAGAGACAGTTGCTTTTTTTATTTCCCATGGGGTTGTATTCTTTGACGTGGTGAGAAAGGAAGATGTCTCTTGTGCGAATGCAGTTCTCTTCCAGTTGTGTTGTTCTTCGTCTCTTATGAATTCAGTCCAGTAAGGTTTATGTCACAGTGACTTAACTAACTTCCGGTATCAGTTAGAGAGGGAAGAGAAGGCTCGTCCCCTGGAGGGGATTGAGCAGAGGAGGAGACTGCTTTGTACAATGCCCCACATTTCCTCTTGAGGGACCGGAATGGCTGCCTCAGACTATGGTCGATTTCAGGGTTTCTCAACCTTGGCAACTTTAAGTTGTGTGGGCTTCAATTCCCAGAGTTCCTCAGCCAGCATGCATGAACTTCAACTCCCAGAATTCCCAGACAGCTGGAGACTTGGTCCATGCATGTCGACTGAGGAGTTGAGGCCCATACATGCTAGCTGGGGAATTCTGGGAGTTGACGTCCATAGCTCTTAAAGTTGCCAACTTTGAAAAACACTGGCCTAGCAGAGCCACTGTTCTGGTCCCACCAGCAAGGTCTCTAGGACAAGGGTCTCCAGTCTTGGTAACTTTAAGACTTGTGGACTTCAATTCCCAGAATTCCTCAGCCAGCTTGGCTGGCTGAGGAATTCTGGGAGTTGAAGTCCACAAGTCTTAAAGTTACCAAGGTTGGGGACCTCTGCTCTAGGATACCTTGACCTGGACCAGACCAAAACCTCTTGGACCCAGAAGATCCTATCTTATTTCAGGATTGTCCATTAAGGGCCAACTGTTCTGCATCTGGCTTGTCTTCTGCTAAGGCATCCAAGTGATGTCCACCATGACATTCCGTGGCAGGAAGTTCCAGTGTGGCAATGCTTACTTGAGAACACTTGAGGCCATCTAACTGTGTGCCTCAGAATTGTCAACCACTGCTTCTCTTTCCCAACCCTGGACCTTCATTGGTGCATTCTGGATCAGGATCTCACCACCAAGAAGGGATCAACCTGTTATTTGGTATGAATTTACTGTTGACCAAAACTCCTAGGGGGTGAAATGGCCCCATACCGACATCCTAGTGGTGGGACATAAAATTATTTTCCGCAGCAGAAACCTTTTCTCTCTTCATTCTTCTCTCTCTGCCATGTCCTCTCACTTGGCGTTTGCAAGGATCTCCCCCTTTTTTTATCCCACCCAGATATCTCTACCTCTCCCCCGTTTTATCTTGTCGATTGGCGATGAATTTCGACAAATTCACCAGCTTCCTCTGCGGCTTTTTAATTTGCCCTCCCATAAAAGGGGAAAGTAATTTTCCATCTGTCTCTTCCTCCAGATGGACCAACACAGCTGTGTGCAATTTGGAATTGAGGGAAGGGGGGAGCAGAGAGAACAGAGCTACAAAAGAACAACCCCGGCACATACACACAAACACAAATCCACACTAGCTTTATTTTCTTGGCTTTTTGCATTCCTCAATATAACTTCGAAAGAGCCATCTATTGCTAGATTTCACTGGGATTGGGAGGAGGAAAGGAGAGATGAAAAATTTACAGTTTGTTGGGGTGAGGAAGCCATTCCCAAAGCATGTTTGTGCAGAAAGTCATAATATTGTAGGGAGAAGTGAACCATTTTCTCATGATAAAGAGGAATGATGTTGTCTCCCTGGAGAGCAAATTGCCTTTGGCTCAGTGGATTGCAACCCTTCAGAAACTAGAAAGTTCCTATTACACTAAAAAAAAAAAAAAAGATGACGCTCGCTGTTTTGTTTCCCACCATTCAGACCAGATGATCTTCCAAAATTCTTTAGGACTAGTTTGAAACGGCTGGAGACTTCAATCGATTCCATTCAGGAAAAAAAAACAACACAAATTCCACCCCCCTTTTACAGCATGACCCAGCATGGCTTTGTGAAGGGGAGTCCAGCTGGGAAGGAGATTTGTCTTCTGCCTCAGTCCACTGTCTCAATTCTTCTGTCCAGAAGGATTCTAATTTTGGAGGAAGAAGACCTGAAGATGTCTCCTCAGTTGGATGTCATGCTGAAAATAGAAGAATGTAAGCAGTGCCCTGCTGGATTGGACGTCTGGCCCATCTTGCCCAGCAGCCCATTCTCACAAAGGTCAACTAGCTGCCTAAGAAGCCCACCCAACTCTCGGCAGATGGTCTTCATGAGCGATCTTTCTCTCATCAAGGCTAAGCCCGGTTGATCCCCGGGACCTCCATGAATTGGTCCAACTCTTCTTTTGAAGCCAGCCAAGCTGGTAGCCAGCACCACTGAGAACCACCAGTCCAGTAGACCTTTATCCAACAGTTGACCAACCAACTGCTCAAGGAAGCCCACCAGTCTCAGCAGAGGGCCTTCAGAGGCCACCTCTGTGGCCCTCAGAGCCAACGGCCGTTGATCTCCAGGACTTCATGAATTGATCCAACCCTTTTAAGAAACCAGCCAAAGTATAACGGTTCATGCCGGGATCATGAGTTCACAGATCCTCTGTCATCCAACACAGCATAGGAAACAGAAGAGAGAGAATCCATGTCCCTCAGCTGCGATTTATTACAGAGCCAGTTGCCAGGCATCTGAATTTTGGTCATGTGACCAGCAACGGTCATTAAGTGTGAAAAACGGTCCTAAGTCTCTTTTTTCAGTGTTGTTGTAACAATTGAACGGTCACTAAATGAACTGTTGTAAGTTGAGGACTTCCTGCACTAGCAAGCATTAGGACCTAGTTTTGTTTCCTCCCACCTTGATTTGGGAGATGAAGGAGCTCCTGATCCCTTTTTGGGGGCCGGCAGGGAAGGGGGAGAAGAGAGTCCAGGAGTCCTGTCAATCCATCTTTTCCAGAAATCTGGGGCCCTGAAAAACATTCCTCGCCTTTTGAGCAAAATAAGTATACAGAAATGCAACTGAATTACTTTTCAGGACAAAGTGAGCTTTACAGCTTCTAAATTGCTTTTTTTTTAAAATGGGGACGGGGAGAATGTTTTTTTTTTAAAGTTATGGCTCTTGGCCGTAAGTCATATCAAATACAACCCAATTTATTTCACTCCTGGCCCCCTCCTTGAACTACAATTGACACTTCTTTACAAAACCGGGCCCCTAATTGGCAGTAATGACATGTTTCAAGCAGCAGTGAGCAGAGTGCAAAAATTTATTATTAATCGGTACCTGGGTCATTTCGGCAATTTCCACAACTTCCTACCATGTGAAAAAGCCATTCTGGAGCTCTCAGGAATGAAAATACCCCACCTGGTATATTTTTTTCTTTTTTTCCTCCTCTCCCGCCCTCCGGATGATTGCCAGAGGCAGCTTAGTGGGATAATGAGAGGGCCAAAAAAGTTTTCCTGACAATTTCTGCAGCCGGTTGAGTCACTCTGAGCTTTGTGTGGTTTGTGCATGGAGATTCTCAGTCCTCCAGTCATGGTTGTCCCAAAGGGGCTTTTTCATGAGGCAAATGGACTACCTTGTTTTTCTTTGAAGATGTTTCACTCTGAAGCTTCTTCAGAGCTGAAGAAGCTTCTTGGATGAGAAGCGAAATGTCTTCAAAGAAAAACAAAGGAAGTCCAGTCGCCTCCTGAAAAAGCACCTTTGGGACTTGTAGGTTTGTGTTAAGAGTCCAAAAAAAACCCCACCAACCACAAACAAACAAGGGAGACATGCCATGTTACTTCTAAGCAGCTTCCTTTACCATTCCTCATCTATAGACAGCAGTCTTGGTTGTGAACAACCTACAAACAGCAGGGATGGGAAAGGACTTCTGCAGTTTCCCTGCATTGGTAGACTTCCGTGGTCAACCTTCTCCAGATCTTTGGGCTTGTGGAAATCGTCAATGCCAACCCAGCTGGTTGCTGCAGGAAAAGGCCTCTAATCTGATCCAGCAAAGCGATTCCTTGATTGACTCAACCGCTTGTCGTCTTTCCTTTCCAGGTGACTATTTTGGCATCCTCATGGAGGCGAAGGTGACCTCCTTCCCCTTCAATGTCATCGATAATCCTATGTACTGGGGTAGCACCTTCATCTATTTCGGATGGTCCCTCATGTAAGTCCTGTCTTCTTCTTCTTCTTCTTCTCCTGCTTCTTCACCAGGTGAGAGTTTTGCAGCCTGGTGGAAAGGAGTCATTTTTCCTTTCCTCTGTTATCCTTCTATTACCCCTTTCTCCTTCCCTAACACCCAAGCTTTGTCCCCTGGATGGACATGAGCACGAAGCCACCCGTCCTTCGAAGGAGTAACTCGGCTACATATGAACTTGGAATCTGTGCACTGATAGGATGTGCTCTTAGACCTGGTAGGGACTCACTAGAGATTAGCCTGACTTCAGTGGAGTGTGGGTCCACACCCCTTGTCAAGCCAGGCTTGGGTGAGGCCGTGTGTTCCTCGGAGGTCTCGGAGAGAGTAAATCAGGATAGTGGCGGAGCTTCAAAGCTCCAGCCTGAATGACGCACTGACTTTTGCTCAGACACATCTCTGCCGTTTTAATTAGCCACTAAGTGAGTGCGGCGATGAGCTGGCAAGGCTGCTGAATGGCTCTCCATAAAGTGGGGATGAAAAACAATCCTTGAGCATCAGAGAGGAAGAGAGAGAGCTCTCTCAGCTCCTCAAGGAGAGGCATTTATGCGATGATGCAAAAGGCGCTCTTAACAGCCACTTCAGAAGTTGAACGAGGGCCATAAATGGTCTAAGAGGACAACAGCACGGTCTGCAAGCTGGCAGGTCTCCTAAGGAACTGGTGTAGCATCCTTATGGCATCCAGTTCTTCAGGCTCATCTTTTTCTTTTTCCTGGTCTGACCCTTGTTCTATGGCAACGGCATTCTCCTACCTGTCCTTAGGTGGCCATTTGAAGGACAATCGTCCCTGTTCCAAGATGGTTCTTCCAATTAAAAAAAGGCAACTGTGCACATGCACAAGTACGCTAGGCTGCTAGGAGAGGAGTCTGCAAATCCTGGCACCTCAAGGTGCCCATCAGGCTTGGCATGGATGGAGGGGTGGAAAAGTGAGCAGGCCACTCCACCACCCTCCCGCCCCCGCCCCCCAAATTTTTGAGAGAGCTTTTCAGGGAATTTTGGGGAGATGAAATGGTCTTGTGGAGGAACTGCTAGAGTGAAGGCATTCAGTTTCCTCTCAGTTCCCCCAACCCTCTTGCAGATGTAAATATGTTCGTTCTCTCTCTCTCTCTCTCTCTCTCTCTCTCTCTCTCTCTCACACACGCATACACAAATATACACAAACACACAGTAGGGCAGACTTGAAGGGGCCTCAGAAGAGATGTGAACCCTGTTATTCCAGCACCATTAGGCAAAATCTCTGTGGCATTGCCAGCTTCCAATCAACTCTGCAGTAGCATATCTTGGTTTCAATCCAGACTTAGAAAGGGCAAAATATATTTCTGGAACCAGATTTTTCCCTCTTCCTGCAGAAAAGCTCACCCTCGTGTCACGCGGGACACATGAGCCGACACCCGTGTTTAATCTTTCTCAGGATTAGACACCCCCCCCATTAAGCTATCACCCTAAAGGCTCCGTCAGTCTTTGCAAATGTTTTCCCACAGCCTGTGACATTTTTGTGCATTTTCCCAGTGCTGTGCCCTTTCGATCAGGCTTCTTGTGAGCTGCTTCTTTCTCCGATGAAAAAGACGAAGACCGTCATGTCTGGAGAACTTGTGGAGTTTTCGTAGCATACTTAAGCCTGGTGTGTGCATTGTTTGCAAAAAAATAATAATAATGAAATTAAAGCAGTTCACATTTTGATAGCAGCTAGACGGATGGCTCTCCATCCCTCTGCTGATTCAGAGCGAGCGAAGTGCTGTGATTGTGTTATAAAAGAGGGCTGTCGAGCCACACTCTGCTCTGAGTGGCTACCTCATCGCTGTCTCCATGACATCCGAACACCAAGGCTATTTCCTTCCACTTCACGAGAACATTTTTTGCTATGACCTCATGAAAGGGACCGAGGGAACAGATCAAATTTCCTGGCCTTAACCTAAACACACTGGGGCTAATATTAAAAAGCCCAGCAATAAACATTTTCGCCTTCATAAATGTTGCAAACTTAGGACTGAACTAGAACTGACAATGGGATTATTTGCATCAAATGTTTTCCAGTTTGAAATAGCTCTAGCACGGCGAAAAAATAAATGCATTTAAGAAACACAACACTTTTGGGGGAGGGGTTTAATGGCTACTGGTTGTGTGCTATTTTAGGGGCTGTTACACAGAACAATGCATGAGATCAGGAAAAATTTAAAACTTAGAAAACAGCAGCCGTTTTCTGAATCCACCTGCATGTTTTAGGAAAATATAGTCAAAGAAATATTTTAAAATTTGTTTGTTCCTGGTCAAACGTCCCTAAATAAACAGCATTTTAACTGTAGATCCTGGAAACTGAGGATAAGATGCATAGACTTATTTGGCTGGCATTCTAATTTCCATTGGCCAAATAAATCTGCAAATCCAAATGTAATTTTTTAAAAGTCAAGTTAAAAGTTCTGCAATGAAAAAGTGCAGAAAAAGAAAACTGCAGACAAAAGAAGTCCTACAAGAAAAATCCCAAAAGAAGTGAATTGAGGAAAAGTGGGTTCCAAAATGCTTAGATTTTCATGTGGATTGGAACAGATGAAGATATGGAAATATTATATGCAAATGTTGCACTGAGTGAGTTTTAGATTGGAGTAATAAAAAACTAACTGGACTTCTGTAATTCCATCTCTCCAAACAAGACCTGGTGGCACTCTCCGTAGATTGGTGGCCAGGTTGCTCCTCCAGACTGGGGACCCCAGATGGGTTGGGGTGGGATTAGAGCTCCCTACAGGGTCACTATACAACCGGCAGAAATCTGGATCATATATCTGAAAGACCTACGGATGGGGTAGACCGAGCCAAGGACCTCCAAAAATTGTAGAGGCCCCCAGCCTTCAGGCCCGGTCCAATCTCCAGGTGCTGGACGTTCCATTGGTCATGGTTGACCCCCTTCTGCATTTTGTTTATTTGCTGGTTGTACGAAAGTTTGCTGCAACAGGAGGAGGAGGAGGAGGAGGAGGAGGAGGAGGAGGAGGAGGAGGAGGAGAAAAAAACTGGAGCAAGAAAAATGGAGAAGCTTTGAGTTCTTTTTCTTAGCCTCATAGGAAAGTCTGAGTGTCCTCTTTTACGCGGCCTTCCTGTTGACAGCTAATTCTTTGCCCTTGAAGAAGAAAATCCATGTTTATTAAGGGGTCTGAACATGAGCTCGCATATGGGGAGAAGCGTGATTAAGGGCTAATGACTCAAATCTATTGCAGAGCCGTATTCCAGAACTTTAATTGAGGCTATTTTAATCTCTCTTCCCCTTGCTTTCCTTCCACCTTCCCCCTCAAGATGTTAGCTCCATAAGGTCCCCAGAATCGGTTTAGGCTGCACTCCAAAAGCAATCTGTTTAGAAGGAGAGAAGACTGGCTCTTTAAGTCCTCCTTATATCATCTCCCTGGAGTCAAACTCAATAATTCCACCAGAAGATTGAGGTACTTTCAGCTCCATGCAGAGATGAGGTCAGTCTGAGGTTCCACCAAGGCTTGCTAGAAGTTCTTTGTCGTGTGCGAGAGACAGTAGGTGTTGGGGAAACAAAAACTGGCTATGACTCCATGTTTGACAGAATAACAGAGTTGGAAGGGACTTTGGAGGTCTTCTAGTCCAGCCCCCTGCTCAAGCAGGAGACTCTAGACCATTTCAGACAACAATGGACTCTTCTTAAAAAATCTCCGGTGATGGAGCACCCACAACAGTTTAGCCTCAATGCTTTTTCAAAGCTTGGCTGGAGCTTAAACCTGCAGGCAGGATTGCCATGAATGAGGCAAACTCAAGGCTAGAAGAAATCCTGATCTACCCTATTTATTGAAGAGCGTTAAGAAGCCATAATAAAAGAATTCCAAAGATTTCTGGGTGTTTCAAGAGAAGGATGTCTTTATGGAATCCGTATTTTTGCACTTTTTCCCTTCCCCACCCAGTGCAGAGGATGGCCCACCTGTCTTACAGGGGACCTCTGTTTTCCACCTGTCCTTTGTTTTTGTAGTACTCAGGTTTACTGTCCTGCTATTCATCTCCAACATTTATGAAAGTCTCACAGCTGGGGCATCGTCTCCATTACAGGTTCCCCAATAGATGTTAGGTGGCCCCCTTTTCTTTTGGGCTGTTTTCATAACTTGGCAGTTGAATGAGGCCATCTTTGAGTCCCCTATCCATTTTGTGGCTCAAGAATTTTTAAAAGTCTCAGTTATCAGGTGGCTTCTTGGGAGAGATGGATCCCCTTGGCTAAATTGACAGATGAGACAGGAAATGGATCTTTAATCCCCAGCCTTGTATTTTGAACCAGACTTTGTTTAGATGAGTTGTTGACTGACTCTGTTTTCACTCAGTAGGGTTAGGCCATCTGATCTTCCCATCTCTCGAAGGGATTAAGGCAGAAACAGCATCATGAGTTAGTCTTGGCTGAAAAAGGGGCAGATTATGCCAAAATTGTCAAAAGATTGTCTTGGGAAACCGGTTGATGCCTAGTTAGACTTTTAACTGCTTACTCTAGGGTGTCAGATTGGGTAAGAATGCCTCACAAACCTGCACCACTTTCCCACAAGGTTCTACAAATCCTACATAAGTAGCAATTTTGGGAATTAAAGATGAAGGGATTTGTTGGGTGCCCTGTCTCTGAGCAATGATCCCTTTGGAGGTTAGATGGATTGAATGTATTTACTTTTGATCCATCGGCCATTGTCCTAGAGTTGGTTCAAAAGCTTTCACTTGAGATTTGGCCTTTGCACGGACAACAGTAACCTAACTTAAGATATTTTGGGGCCAACTTTCTGAAAAACACCAAGGCCATGTAGAAGAGTTCCAAAATAGCAATGCAGTCCTTTAAAGCATAAATAATTAAATCAATGCTACCCATTAAATATTGGATGGGAAAAAAAATCATTGCTGGGCATTTAGAAGGCCAAATTGAAGAGATGTGTCTGCTCTTCTTCCAAATTGCTAAGTGAGCTGGGACCAGTCTAAGCTTGGAAAGGAGACCTGAAGAGAAGGGAAGGAGGCCAGGCCCCTGCCAGCTCATATTATGGCAAGGATTATATAATTTGAAAGCCAGACCTGAGCAGTTTACACATTTAAAGTTGAATCTGGAGGATGTGGTGGTCCTCTAGTCTAGAAGTCCTTCACCACTGTCTGGATTGTCTCAGCACTGCCAGAGATTCAGTCAAGCAACATCAGGAAGACCATCCAATTATCTCCTAAATGTGGGGTCTTTGGTGCTCTCTGAGCTTGGTTGTTCTCTTGCAGAGATTTCACGTCTGCAAGAAAATGTTTCACATCTGCAAGAAAGCAACCAAGCTTAGGGAGCACCAAGAACCCCACGGTCTTCCTCCTCCTCCGCTCTGCAGATCCCACTCCCTTTTAGTACTGATGATGCTACCTAGTTGGGTCATGAAATGACTGCAAGAAAGCAGGCAAGCTCAGAGAACACCAGGCACCCCACAGTTCAACCTTGAGCTACAAATATTCTGTTCTACTGGTCTTTGCTAAATGATCAGTCAACCCACCATTCCACACACTGATTGTCATCTTTTCACCATTTTCCATCATAGAGGGACAGAGGTCTATAAAGCTTCAGAAGCTGGATTATAAAACAGCCTTGGCAGAATGTTGCCAGTAGGGCTAATTATTATGAACAAAAAAATCTGTTGACCCTAGTTTAGACCCATTCCATTGGGCTGTGGTCTTCATTCAGAGACCCATCTCAACCTGTTGAGCTTTTGGTAGTTTCTCATGCCTGTTCCAACCTTGGCATACATTTTTGCCCTGGATTTGGGGAGATTTCTGCTCAGTTGTAGCTGCTCTCTGCCCCCTCCCCATCTTATATAACCAACATCTTAAGGAGCTGACATAATCTCCCATCTTATCCTTGTAGCACCATCTTCAGTGAGCCAAATCACATTATTCAATACAGCCAAAGCAGCCGATACCCACCCATCCTCCAAGACCTGATGGAGCTATGACTCAATTAGGTCAGCATAATTTTTTTGTTGTTCTTCTTTCGTTCAAAAAAGCCAGCAACATTTGACCAGGTAGCCTAGTTTGCCTGTGGACGGGCAAGTTCCCAAGTATTGGGGGGAGGGGGACCTCAGTTTCTCTTTTGCTGACTCAGCCTTCTCTTGTCTTCCCAACTTTTGTTCTCTTCTTCTGCCTTTTCAAATCAGGAACGCCAGCCCAGTGGGTCTCGTCCTGACCGTGGTGGTGGCTCTGTGCTACACAATTGCTCTGTTCTACGAAGGGTGAGTTGCCTCTGTGCAGGATGAAAAAAATAATGAGGCATGATTTCATTTCAGGGAATTGTGTTGAGAAAGGGGATTGTGTTTTTTTTCCCCTCCTCCCTGCCTTCAGTTAACCTACTTGCTGTGTTTTCCCAGCAGAGTTAATATGGGCTGTGATTCAGAGCGGCGGTTTGGTATTGTCTACCCTGGTCATCAAATCTAGCATTGTTCTCCAGATGTTTTTACTGGCATTTTTCCATAATATTCAGCCTTGGACATGCAGGTTGGGGTTGATACAAATTGTAGTGGGGAACATCTTACTTAGAAAAGAGATGGTCACCTTTTGCTTTCAGAACCTAGCTGAGAAGAAAGTCATTTTTAATTTGCCATTTCAGACCCTCCAACTCAGTATATTTCTCCCCTGAAATGATAAATTTGTTTTGGGTCAACGAGACTGAGGAATTCTAGACGTTTGGAGAATCAAGGCCATTCCAATGCTTACACCTGAGGTTGTTTTTTCCAGAGTTGGACCAACAGGTGGACCTGGGTTGGACCAACCTGGGGCTGATGTTTCATTTGGTCAGTTGAAACTCCTGATGGGAACAACCCGCCACCGAGAACATATATAACGTACAGAACAATGTGGGGTCCAACTTTTCCAAGAAACCTTGTGTTTTGCAAGTTTCATTGACGTGTTGATGAATTTTCCAGTACCCACACATACCTAGAATTAAGCCTCTCCAGCTGTGTTAATCGTATGTTAGCAGTTATGAATATTTCCAGGTCATTCATTCTAAAGGGATTCACAAAAGGAAGGGGAGGTTTACCTTGGGTTCTTCTGAGGCACATGCAGGGCCTTGAGATGGCCACACTCTGTGCGTTTCCTTGTGTGCTGGCTAATTACCAATCAACCTGAAGAGGGGAACAAGCATCTTCAAGGGCTATGTCAATTGTGTCATTTACTGTGTACTAGGATGCTATAGATGATGTTCAACCCTATTCAACTTCAGCAACTTTAAGCTATCTGGATTTCAACTGGGAATTCTGGGAGTTGAAGTGCACGCAGCTTAAAGTTGCTAAGGTTTGAGAACATTGATCTAGTTGGGATGAGAGAGACACGGCCATGGCAGTGGGACCTCTGAATATTCACCACTCTTTTCTTGTTTCCCTCCCCACCAAACCCTGATGCCTATTCCCTCACCCCATCTCCCATTTCCCTCTCCTAGGCCCTTCACCGAAGAAATCTACCGCAACAAAGCACTGAAATGTAAATAAGGCCACAATATCAGTTGCAAAGATCTCCCCAACGTTGGCATTGTTTGGACACAGAGAGCTGGCCTGCTTGTGACTCCAAGATGGGACAATTGGATAGGATGAGAGAACTTCAGCCTGACTTCTGTTGCGTTCCTCCAACTCCTCAATGAACACACAAACACACGTACACAGGCCCCATTTTTTTGTGTGTGTGTGTTTTGCGGGAACGCTTAATTCCGAAAGGAAAGTCTTCACAAACACCTAGGCCAAGCCAGGCACAGCAAGGGTGCTTTTGAATGCCAATTTTTGCTTCGCCCCGGCTTTCAGTCGTTTCCATTAGCTACGTAATTCTGAATGTTTTGATTATAGGCTGGAGAGCATCAGAAAAGTGGCCCTGGAAGGAACCTGAGAAGTTTACATAACTGGAACCATGTGCAGGACACGTACAAAGAGATTTAAACAATGAAAAAGCACAGAGTGTACACATTCCTTGACAGGAGAACAAAGCCACAAGGCTGCACGTGTGCTAATGTTGCTTGCCAGTATTTGTGGAGAAAAGGGATTGGATGCTTCAGCGGGGAGGCATGACGGACTACCTGTGAACATGCAGCATCTATATATTCACACAACACACATAGCCTTGGAACTGAACATGAGCATCTGAATTTGGATCATGTGACTCTGTGGGGATGCTGCAAAGGTCGTAAGTATGAAAAAGTCATCAGTCACTTTTTTTCAGTGCCGTCGTAACTTTGAACGGCCACTAAATGAACTGTTGGAAGTTGAGGACCACCTGTGTTTTTCCATCGCTTGAATAGTGCAAGAGTTTTGTCACAGATTTTTCACCCTGATTTTCATCTTCCCAAACTTCTCCTGAGGCTCCAAAGACAGTTGTTCTTCAAAGAAGGGACCATCTCATGTGTGGATTCTGAGAGATGTAGGTCACTTCCATGGTGGCCTGGATTCTTCACCCATTTGGGTTGCTCTAAAGACCTTGTACCTTCATTTGAGAAACTGGTGACAACTCTGAAATCCTTTGAAGATCAAAGAATGGAAAGTTGTCAGGTGAACTAAGCATTTTCATAAAGTTTTCTTTTTGTGAGCTAAGGTGCCATAAGTTCCTTTCTCTTTCTTCTCCCTCTTTGTTCTTTGTTACTATCACTTTTTGCTTCTCCCAGCTACCATGAGAACATTGTAAGTTCCTTTCACCTCCCATTGTTTTCCATTTTTTCCAAACAATCTCCAGATACCAGCTTCTGAGAATTACATAAATTCCTTCCCTATCCCCCTCTCATACACAGCCCTTATGCCCTGTCCTTCCTAAGCTTGATTTATCTGACCCAACAGGAGCTCAAGAAGAAATGGTTTAGCCATTATCTTCAGACTTGCTACGAGACAAAATACGTTTGGGTGATACGTTGTACGGAATTTATGTCTTTATTTTTCACTGTGTCCATAACAGTTGCAATTGAAGTGCCTGCAGACCAAATACCATTTCAAAATAAATTTTAAAAAAGAAGCACAAAAATCTCAAAGAAAGTTTATTGGTATGCATTCCTTCTTTCGGCTGGTTACATATTGTCTGCTGCCTTGTCTTCCTTTTTGATGCCTATTAGTCATAACAATCTTTCTTGCGAAGGAATATTTATATTGAGAGACCTTTTCTGTGGCCACTTCTCGTGTATGCTGTACCCATAACAACCGAACAAGCAGAAATACACTGCATTATTCAGGCGACCGTTACCAGACTGTAAATCTGAGCTATAGTAACATGTTTAAATTTCTTTTTTTTACCATGAAGAGGAATTTTCTGGAAGGAAAAAAAAAAAACCTGTTATCTTTCTTGAACTGTCTACAAAGACAGTCCCAGTTTTCTGAGTTTTTTCTCTATTTTTTTCCCCTGCTTTATCTGTCTTCACCTCTGCTTTAAAAGAAACACAATTCGCATTTGTTTGCAAGAACGGCTGCTCCATTTTAAAACATTGTCCTTGGTCTTTGTAGCCCCCAATTGTACAATCTAACCTATTTCTTCGGTCTGCAGCTTGTAAACTAGCAATTTGCAATTTCAGAGTGCACTTGAAACTCTTCAAAAGTTGACCCCGAATTATACTGCATTTTATACATGAATGGAGAGGAATCTCATTGTTTTCATTTCATTTACATGCGCATGACATCTCTCATAATTTTCCTCCTGCCACAGGCAAAAGGCAGCCTGGTGCCCAGAACAAAGTATATTGCCCATGTCTGATATAAATGCCAACCCACTAGTATTACAAAATGGGGAAACTTTATAAACTCTGTTTTATAAATGAAAGCCATCCCTAATCTGATGCAGTTCAGCTGTTTGGGATGGATGAAGAACAATTCTCAACCCTACCATGGTATGCTCAACTTTAAACCACAAATAAATCCTATTTTGGCTCCATTGGAGAACACCCAGTTTCTACCTTGCTAACGTGGCCCATTCTGCAATTAAAAGAAAATTAAAAGAGATGTCCTGCGCATTTCAATGAAACGAAAATGACCCGATTCCTCTCCATTCATGTATAAAATACAGTAAAATTCGGGACGAACTTTTGCAGAGTTTCACGTCCACTTGTCTCCATCAAAAATAGGGTGCAGCTCAAATGTCTGTCTCAACCAGGGGTCTCCAGCCTTGGCAATTATAAGACATGCTGAGGAATTCTGGGAGTTGAAGTCCAGAAGTGTTGAAAGTTGCCAAGGTTGGAGACTCCCGATCTAAGTGATGGCTAAAATGGACTCGTCCCCTCCTCTCTCCATTTCATAAACCCGAGACAGGTAAGTCGAGCAGAGTCACCTTTCATTTGGGTCACCTGGAGCTCTAATCAGCTGATCTGCCCCAGCCAATCCCCTCCTACCTGAAAACATAAAACCACCTCTCCAAAACCAATCGTGTGGCTGCATGTTTTGAATAGAGGAAGGTTGCCAGAAGCCAAGGAGAGAGGTTTTTCTCCTTTTTTCTAGGAAAAAGACATAGCACCAGCTGTCCTAATTAGTTTTCAAGAGGATTGTTTCCAAATAATGCAATCCTTTCCTCTAAATATGGATGGCAGGGGTATTTTATTGGTTATATCATCCCATTGTACTGTCGGCTGTGCCAGTTTTAATGCTTGGAGTCTGGATATGCCGAAGCCTAAAATTGAACAAATAGGGCATATTAACATGATGGAATTGTGACTGCCGTTGCTTCGGCACAAACCAGAATCTGTTTCTAAGAATTACAGATGCTAACTGGCACTTGGTAAAGCACAGGACAGACTATCTTAGGGTAGATTAGTACAGAAATGTTCTAGAAATCTGGCTTCTTCAGTTCACTGTACTGTGTGAACCCATAGCACTGGGTTAATGGAATAAACCTGGTTATCAGGGAGAAGTATAATGTGTGAACAGCTCTACTCAGTTAATAGTTTTGCATAGAGTAGCTATGACTCAATGCAGGCGGTCTTCTGGAGGGCAGGATAAACAAAGGTGGAGGAGATAAGCCATAAAGTCTCTAATTAACATCAGTTTCAGGCTGTTCACAGCGACCTGCATAGCCAGAAGAGGCTAGAATCTTGTCTAAAGTTTGCTTAATGTTGCCTAGGTGCTAAAAAAAATAATTGGTTGATAATTGCTCTACCAACCGAAGCAGACAAGACTAGATTCAACCACATCACTCTTGGCCAAACCTACTCTTTGCTGTAAACTCATGCTCAGCCTTCTCTCCAGAGCTTCAGCATATTGTTTTGTGCTCCTTGGCAGAAAATGTAACCCCCTGAGGACTGGGGTTTGTCTCAGTTTATATTCCAGTGGCATGCCCTGTAAGTGTTGGGGTGTGTGTGTGTGTCGGGGGTGTGTGTGTGTCTTAGAGATTCTTTGGTTGGGCTTTGTTGACTTCTTGGGCAGTTTCATGATTGGGGTATTGTTTACTTGATTGTTTTGGTTGAGATTGACTGCTGTAAAGTCTATTAATTCTTGGCTTACCTGTGTTTTGTAAAGTAGGGGGTTGAGCAAGCTGGACCCAGAGCATTCCCCAGGCCCCTTTTTTTCAACAGCTTCCAGAGACCCCCGAGATGGCATTGCCAGCCTTTGCAGCATATATAATGCCAGTGTCTTTTTCTGCCTGTTTTTTGTAGGTCAATAAAAGAGGGCCATTAGTCTTAAGGCAGGTACAGTATTTGTGGGTTGTTGTTGTTTTACACACACACACAAACCAAAACAAGAGGGAAGGCAGATAACAATTGCAAGCCCCCAGAACTTGGAAATGCAACCCCCCCCACACACTTTCTGGGATGCTCAGGGCTAGAAACTGAACTTTTGGCCCTGGCCTGTAAAGCATCGGTTGCAACCTGTTTGCTGGCTGAATCGAATATGCATGCTCTGACTCGACCCAACGCAGGGGGTGCCCTCTTTCCATTAAAACATCTTACAGGTTTCTGCCTCTGCCCCCAACTTCTGGTCCCCCCCCCCGTTGCCCCTTCTGTGATCTCCTCAATGCATGTCTTTTTCCAGAGCGTGTCCCTTGCAAATACCCCCCCTTTTTTAAAAAAAAAAAGAGAGAGAGAGAGTGTGTAACAACATAAAATTCTCCGGGGACTTAATTAAGCAGCCTGATGACATTTATGAATGAAGGCTCGGCGGGAGGGAAGAGCAGCAGGCTAAAAGCCCTGGAGCAAAAGCCGGGTTGAGCCCTGTTTGCTGTTGATTTAAGAGATGGCTGTGTTTGAATTTCTGCCCGGTGGGATGTCGATTAATTGGGGGCCAGGTAGGCAGGTGTCAGATCCGACCTGCTTTGGCTAATCGGCAGATGGAGAGGTTGGTTTTTCCCTGATTCGTTCGGAGCTGCAGGCCCTGGACCAGGATTCATGGCTGCTTCAGGAGAATTGTGGGCTGGGGAGAATGTGAAGCGGTGAGCTGGAAGAACACACCTGTGGCCAAAAGGAAGGAAGGCCCCCTCCACACCGATTGTGGATAAGGCTTGTGAATTGGCCAGACACCCTTGTAAATACAGGTAGTTCTCGACTTACGACCACAATTGAGCCCAAAAGTTCTGTTGCTAAGCGAGACAGTTAAGTGAATTTTGCCCCATTTTACAGCCTTCCTTGCCACACTTTTTTAAGTGAACCACTGCAGTTGTTCAGTAACACGGTTGTTAAGTGGATCTGGCTCCCCCATG